AAAAATGGTTTCTGTTGATTTACCTGGAATCCTGGGCAGAATCATTTTTTTAATCTTTTTGACCATTATGAAAGGGTTTTTAGCTGGATTCTGGCTAAGTTGCTAAAGCTTAGAAGTGAGGCTTGGAGACTGTTTTGCTCTAGCAGTAACTTGTCCCAAATTAAAGTTGGGTGGATATGGGACAACGTTCGGAGTAAGCTTGATAAGGTCAGTTGGCATCGTTTGGTGTGGTTCCCAGGGCATGTTCCAAAATTCTCCTTGATCTCTTGGATGATTATTTTGGACAGGTTGCCTACAAAGGATAGGCTTGCTAGGTTTGGCCTCAATATGGATGTCTCCTGTGGGCTGTGTAACTCTGGTATTGAGTCCCGAGATCACCTATTTTCTGTGTGCGTCTTTGCGAAGAGCATATGGAGTGATGTTCTTCTCTCCTGTGATCTTGTGCAGGAGCCTCTTTGTTGGAGTGATAGTCTTAGATGGTTGTAGAAGAATCTCAAAGGTAAGTCTCTTCTGGTTCATCTACTCAAGTTGGCTTGGACCGGTTTTGTTTATTACACTTGGGAGGAGCGAAATCACAGGTTTTACAGAGGTCTAACTCGGTCGACTGATACTATTGTTAATATAATTAGAGATGCCGTGAGAATTAAAATGTATAGATCTCATATGAACATATTAGACGCTGTAAATATGCAATTGTGTGCAGCTTGGGGGTTGGTATAGTTGTTTTGTGTCTGTACAGGGGATACGTTGTATTGCAGCTCGTCTGCTTCTTTTGGATGAATGAATTTTTACTTATCCAAAAAAGAAAGGGTTTTTAAAAAACATTATTTTAACAAAAGGATTTTTAAAAAACATTATTTTAATAAAAACTTTTAATTAATAAGGCGTATGTAAAAAAATCTCTCTTAGAGATTCACCCCTTAAAATCAGGTGTGCAACACGAATCAATCGAATTAATCAAAACAAAACTTTGAAAACCGAGAGAACAACAAGAAAAAGATAATTATATTTGTGTACATTCAAATCTATACTCTCTTAAGTATTATAACTATAATAACACTAATTAAATTAATACTCAGAAATAGTTAAAACATTTAAAGTTGAAGTTAATGAAAAATAAAATATTTTAGTATTATTTTGAAATGAAGTTGATTTTCCATTTATTTATAATATATAGCATACCGTAAACAATTTTTTTTTATGAAAGTGTGAACAAATTAATTATAAAAGAGTGGATCTTTCTAAGTTTCTTATGTATCTAACGTTACAATAATTGAGTTAGAATTAAGATTTAGGATTATAATATTTTTTAAGGTTATATAATTTTATTTATTTTAAAATTAATTTTTATCTAAGATTAAATTTGAAATTTAAGATTTTGATGAGTACATGCAATATAATCATACATATTTTAATTTAGTTTCTTTTAAATGTAAAAGTTATATAGGTGAAGTACACAAATGGTTCTACGAACTATAAGGCGTTATTTTATTATTGAATGTTATAAAATAGTTCATCGATTATAAGGTATTGTTTATTTTAGTTATCTAACTATTAAAAAAATATAAAATGATCATTCAACTACGCATATGTTTCAAACTAGTCATTTTTCGTTAAAAAATTGACGACAGTCTGATCTGGATGTTAATCAGTTGACTAAGATATGATAAAATATTATCCTAAAATCTCAAACGACTATATAACTTAAACGATTATGGGTTCAAATTTTATCATATCCCACTCTGCATGTTAACATCCATATCAGGCAACCATCAACTTTTTTTTAATGAAAATGACAAATTTGAAACATATAAATATTCGAGTGATCATTTTATAACTTTTAATAATTGAGAAATTTAACAAAGCAGTGTACTATACTCGACATGGACGACAAACAGGTGAGGCGGATGCAAATAACCATTCCCCCTCCCCATACCTACATAATATTTCCGTATACACCAACTATACACCACGCATGAATTGTGAAAATTTTAAATGTACATACGTCCACGCTGTTACATTCTTAATTTCACCCCACACCTACTACACAACTAGATACATATCATTCATCTTGTACCCGCTCATACTCGCATGTGGAACAAAATAGAAATTTGCGAGTACAAATGACAACAGGAAAAAAATAGAAAGGGATAGAGAAACATTTATCCAAAAAGTCTATGGCGAAAAAGAAACCATTTAGATAGGAGAAACAACGGTCTTCAATTCTAAAAATATTTATACCCTAACATTTGAATAAATTACAAATCATGCCCTATAAAATCTTAAGATTTACAAAATAATCTATGAAATTATACATAAATTGATAATGGTTTAAACGTTATGAATAATTAGTGGGCGGACAAATGTTAAGGAGACGAATATGAGGTGGATAAAGTCCTGAACCCATCATATGTATACTATATACGGTAAATATGATCTTTTACATCCATACCTACTCATTATCCACTAAAATTATACCTATCACAGTCCTAATTAGGTTTCAGATTGTCCGAACTTCCTGTACGTACAAGTGGTCGTGATTTGAAACCAATTTAATTATTATGGTCATTCTCAATTTACCTACTGATAGTTTTTCTAATGAGGAACTTATAACTTGAGGGATCAGATTTAAAACTATTAAAATTTTATTTATTTATAAAATATTTAAATTATTCACCGTTTTAATTCTAAAATAAAAAAATAATTAGGTTTAAGTTTAATATTTTTAAACTATTACAGTAACATTGAAAAAAAATTATTTTTCTTGAAATATATTTATTAAAAATTTTCATTTATATAAATGGGTGGATTTAAAAAATAACATGGGTCCCCATATTTGCCGGATCTCCATACGACTACGTCATATGAAAGTGCACCGCTGCAACTCCCTAATGCGTTTGACTTTACCCATTATCTCATCAAATAAATATCTACGTGTATCAAACCATATAATACATTAATGAAAAAAATTATTGTTTTGTCCAAAGTATGTTAGGGATAGGGTCGGTTTTTTTTTCACCCGACTCGACCCGAAAATAAGGATTCTTCCATCCGAGATTTGATCCGACTAAAATAAAATTTCATCCGATCTAACTTGAAATAATAATAATATTTTTATTTTTATTCAATAAAAAATAATGACTTAATTGAAAAAATAATATATAGAGGGTATTATTGTAATTATTCTAGATATATAAGGTAAAATTATATTTTTTCGGGTCGGACAGGGTCGTTTATTTTTCGCCTAATTCCGTACCCGAACCCGATCCGAACATCACAATTAAAAAATCGACCCGACATAACCTGAATACGATTTTTAAAAAAAAACCCAATTCAATTGGGTCGGGTCGGGTCGGGAGTTTGAGTCCCATGCACATCCCTTAACTATATTGTCCATTTCAAAATTTCTAAAAAGAAATGTATAGAACTTGTAGTTAAAGGAAGATTTTGAAAGCAATAAATAGCTGAAAACGATAGACAGGCAATCCATGCGTGTAAACAAGACCCCGATAAAGAAACCTATGATTGCTAAGGGTTGTCAAAAATGCCCGAATAATGCAGTTGAATCCTTTTTTTTTCCATATAATATATCTATATTTTTATTTTCTCGATAGGATAAATATTATGAATATCTATTCTAGACATAATTTCTTAATAAAATTTATTTTATTTATAATATTAAATTTAAACTCTAAATACAAATGTAGTTATTTATAATACTCGTTATCTAAAAATATCTAAAGATGATTAAGCGCGTATCGTGCATTGCACTCAAGCCCCAAGCCGACAGCGACCCATCCTAATTTTTTCAATATTTTATAAACATTATATTGAGAAAAGGAAAAAAATCACGTAAGAGTTTGAATTTTGTTTTGTAATATTCAAAATAATAATTTTCTCATTCCAACTATATAGAATAAATTGTGATATTATTCAATATGCTAAAATAAATTATATAGTATAAATCAATTATTACTATTTATATTATGTTTAAATTATAAATTTAATATTTATATATATTTTATTTTAATTTATATCTTTTTCAGATTTATAATTTCATTTAACTATTTCATTATTATCATTTGAATTAAAAATATCATTAACATTTTGTTTAAAACGGTAAGTAGAAAGAAAAATAAAATGTAAAACTTAAAATGATAAAATAAAAATAAGGGTAAATTATGTGTTTAGTACCTCAACTATTAGTTTTTGTATGTTTTAGTATCTAAACTTTTAATTTTTTTCAAAATTATACCTAACATTTAGTTTTTATTTCATTTTAATACATCGTCGTTAAAAACTTAACGGATTATTTGCACATGACACCTTTTTTATGGGTAAATTGTATCATTCATCACTAAATTATCTTATCACTCATATTTTGGTCACTAAAGTTTAAATTTTCTTGATTTGATTATTTAACTTTCAAATTACTCCTAATTTAATCACTTTAACTTTCAAATTTATTTTTATTTTTTTAATTATATATTAATAAAATAGTAATAAAAATGTCATATAACAAAAATTATTAATAAAATAAATTAGAGTGATTAAAATAAGAGTAATTTAAAAGTTGATAGTTAAATTGAACATTTTAAACTTTAGTACCAAAATATTAGTAAAAAGATAGTTGAGTGATGAATGGTTTAATTTACTCATAAAAAGTATATTGTTAAATTTTTAATAGTGAGATACTAAAATGAAACAAAAACTAAACGTTAAGTATAATTTTAAAAAATTAAAAATAATTATTTAAATACTAAATACGTAATTTATGTTAAAAATAATGCCAGTACTGCAAATTTGTTTTGTTAAAAATGTATGAAGAAAATCAAAATTTGCATCACATCCAAAAAGGAAATATCGAAACCTGGGGAAAGAACAAGAAAAACCCTATCGGTTAAAAGTTTTAAAATATTCACCACCAGAAGTAATACAAAAAATAATTATATTAAAAGAAGTAAACGCGTAATAAACCCGCTCAATCCCCTATTTCCCCAAAAATAAATAAAAATAAAAATCCAAAGCGGCTGCCACTTCCTTCAAAGTTCAAACTCCCCTGATTTCAATTTTTCTTTTCGGTTTAATGCGATGTCTCTCCGTTACGGCCCCGGCACTCAGTCGGGTCCACCGCAAACGGTGCCGCCGGAAGATGAGCCTTACACATAATCCCTGTCCACAACCTGCTGGCCGACCACCCTTCCCTCCGTTTTCCCGAAGTACGCGCCGCAGCCGCCGCTCTACGCGCCGTGGGAGATCTACGGAAGCCTCCTTATGCTCAATGGCAACCTTCCATGGACCTCTTGGACTGGCTTGCTCTATTCTTCGGTTTCCAACAGGACAACGTCAGTAACCAGAGAGAACACCTTGTGCTCCACTTGGCCAACGCTCAGATGCGGTTGACTCCTCCGCCGGACAACATCGACACCCTCGACGCTAGCGTCCTCCGTAGATTCCGCCGTAAGCTTCTCAAAAACTACACTAGTTGGTGCTCTTACTTAGGCAAGAAATCCAACATATGGATCTCTGATAGCAGCCGCTCCAGCTCTGATCACCGGCGTGAGTTACTTTATGTGGGACTTTATTTGCTGATATGGGGCGAATCTGCGAATCTTCGCTTCATGCCCGAATGCATCTGCTACATCTTTCACAACATGGCCATGGAGTTGAACAGATTCTCGAAGATTACATCGATGAGAACACTGGTCAGCCGTTATGCCGTCTTTATCCGGAGACAACTCGTTTTTGAATTGCGTCGTGAAACCCATATACGAGACTGTAAGGGCTGAAGTTGAGAGCAGCAAGAACGGAACAGCACAACATACTGCTTGGAGGAATTATGATGATTTGAATGAGTATTTTTGGAGTAAGAGATGTTTTCAGAAACTCAAGTGGCCGATTGATGTGGACAGTAATTTTTTGTTACTTCCAATAAGAGTAAGCATTGGGAAAACTGGATTTGTTGAGCAAAGGTCGTTTGGAATCTTTACAGGAGTTTTGATAGGCTTTGGGTGATGCTGTTTTTGTTTCTTCAGGCGGCGATTATTGTGGCTTGGGAAGAGAGGGAGTATCCGTGGCAAGCATTGTCAATTAGAAATTGTCGTGTTAAGATTTTGACACTGTTTATTACTTGGAGTGCGATGAGGTTTTTGCAGGCTTTATTAGATGCAGGGATGCAGTATAGCCGTGTGTCGAGAGAAACATTGGGTCTCGGCATTAGGATGGTGTTAAAGGTGGTGGTTTCTGCCTCATGGATCGTGATTTTTGCGGTTTGTTATGCAAGGATCTGGCAGAATAACCATGGTAGAAGATGGACTGCTGAGGCTGATAGGAGGGTGCGCCTCTTTTTACAGATAGCCTTTGTTTACGTGTTACCTGAGTTATTGGCATTGGCTTTATTTGTGATTCCTTGGATTAGGAACTTCATTGAGCAGAGGAATTGGAAGATCTTTGACCTGTTGTTTTGGTGGTTTCAGAGTAAGAGTTTTGTTGGTCGGGGATTGAGGGAAGGGCTACTTGATAATGTTAAGTATACCCTGTTCTGGGTACTGGTGTTAGCTACGAAATTTGCATTTAGTTATTTCTTACAGATCAAACCAATGGTTAGGCCGTCCAAACTAATGTTGAATATTAGGGTGGAGTATGAGTGGCACGAGTTTTTTGGTGAAAGTAACAGATTCGCTGTTGGTTTGTTGTGGCTGCCTGTGGTCTTAATTTACTTGATGGATATTCAGATTTGGTATTCAATATATTCCTCGTTTGTAGGAGCAGGAGTGGGGTTACTCCAGCACTTAGGTGAGATTAGGAACATTCAACAGTTGAAGCTGAGGTTTCAGTTCTTTGCTAGTGCAATTCAGTTCAATCTGATGCCTGAAGAGCAGTTATTGAATGCCAGAGGAACATTCAGGAGCAAGTTTAATGATGCTATCCACCGGTTGAAGCTGAGATATGGGCTTGGGCGTCCTTTCAAGAAGCTTGAATCAAACCAGGTTGAGGCTCACAAGTTTGCTCTGATATGGAATGAGATAATTACCATTTTCAGGGAAGAAGATATCATCTCTGATCGTGAAGTTGAGCTGCTAGAGCTGCCTCCGAATTCTTGGAATGTTCGGGTTGTTCGCTGGCCATGTTTCTTGCTATGTAACGAGTTGTTGCTCGCTCTCAGCCAGGCAAAAGAGTTGGTTGATGCTCCTGATAAGTGGCTTTGGTATAAAATATGCAAGAATGAGTATAGACGTTGTGCAGTGATTGAAGCGTATGACAGTATCAAGCACATGATGCTTGCAATTCTCAATGTCCAGTCTGAAGAGCATTCAATCCTCACTTATTTGTTCCAAGAAATTGATCATTCTGTTGAGATCGAGAAGTTCACCAAGACATTCAAAATCACTGCACTACCCCTGCTTCATATGAAGTTGATAAAGCTTGTTGATATTTTGACCAAACCCAAGAAGGATGTTAATCAGGTGGTTAATACTTTGCAGGCCCTCTACGAGATTGCGGTCCGTGATTTTTTCAAAGACGGAAGGAACATTGAACAGCTGAGGGAGGATGGATTGGCTCCTCGTGACCCTGCTGCCATGGCTGGGTTGCTGTTTGAAAATGCTATTAAGTTGCCTGATTCCAATGACGATAAGTTCTATCGGCAAGTTAGGCGTTTGCATACGATTCTTACCTCCAGGGATTCTATGCAGAGTATTCCAGTTAATCTTGAAGCTAGGCGAAGAATTGCATTCTTTAGCAATTCGCTCTTTATGAATATGCCTCATGCTCCCCAAGTAGAGAAGATGATGGCTTTTAGTGTCCTCACTCCTTACTACAATGAAGAGGTGCTATATAGCAGAGATCAGCTCCGAACTGAGAATGAAGATGGGATTTCAATCCTTTATTATTTGCAGACCATATATGATGATGAGTGGAAAAATTTCATGGAAAGAATGCGACGGGAGGGAATAGTAAAGGATGATGAGATATGGACAACCAAGATGAGAGATCTGAGGTATTGGGCATCTTATAGAGGCCAGACACTTTCACGCACTGTCAGAGGAATGATGTACTATTATAGAGCTCTGAAGATGCTGGCTTTCCTTGATTCTGCATCAGAGATGGATATTAGAGAAGGGGCACGAGAACTTGGTTCTATGCGGAGAGATGGTGGTTTGGATAGTTTCAACTCTGAGAGTTCTTCTAGGAGTTTAAGCAGAGCAAGTAGTTCTCTGGGTCTGCTATTCAAGGGCCATGAGCAAGGCACATGTTTGATGAAATACACATATGTGGTCGCTTGCCAGATTTATGGGGCTCAGAAGGCCAAAAAGGATCCGCATGCTGAGGAAATCCTGTATCTGATGAAACAACATGAAGCTCTTCGAGTTGCCTATGTTGATGAAGTTTCAACCAGGAGGGATGAGAAGGAGTATTTCTCTGTTCTTGTGAAGTATGATCAGAAATTAGAGAAGGAAGTGGAGATCTATCGGGTCAAATTGCCTGGTCCACTGAAGCTTGGAGAGGGCAAGCCAGAAAATCAAAACCATGCCCTTATCTTCACCCGTGGTGATGCTGTTCAAACTATTGACATGAACCAAGACAACTATTTCGAGGAGGCATTGAAAATTCGCAATCTCTTGGAGGAATACAGGCACAACTATGGTATACGAAAGCCAACTATCTTGGGAGTTAGGGAGCACATTTTTACTGGTTCTGTTTCATCACTTGCTTGGTTTATGTCAGCTCAAGAAACAAGTTTTGTCACTTTGGGACAACGTGTCTTGGCAAATCCTTTGAAAATTCGAATGCATTATGGCCATCCAGATGTCTTTGACAGGTTTTGGTTTTTGACTCGGGGTGGGATCAGTAAAGCTTCCAGAGTAATTAATATCAGTGAGGACATTTTTGCTGGCTTTAATTGTACTTTGCGAGGAGGCAATGTCACGCATCATGAATACATCCAGGTTGGCAAAGGAAGGGATGTTGGGTTGAATCAAATATCTATGTTTGAAGCCAAGGTTGCCAGTGGGAATGGTGAGCAAGTTCTTAGCAGAGATGTGTATCGTCTGGGTCATAGACTGGACTTCTTTAGGATGTTGTCATTCTTTTATACTACAGTGGGATTCTTTTTCAACACAATGATGGTCATTCTTACTGTATATGCTTTTCTGTGGGGCAGACTTTATCTGGCTCTTAGTGGTGTTGAGAATTCTGCCCTGGCTAGCAACAGTGACAACAATAGAGCACTTGGTGCCATCTTAAATCAACAGTTTATCATCCAACTTGGTCTTTTCACTGCCCTTCCAATGATAGTGGAGAATTCCCTTGAGCATGGATTTCTTCAAGCTGTCTGGGATTTCTCGACAATGCAGCTTCAGCTTTCATCTGTTTTCTACACCTTCTCCATGGGTACCCGTACTCACTACTTTGGCCGGACTGTCCTTCATGGTGGTGCAAAGTATCGTGCTACTGGCCGTGGTTTTGTTGTTCAGCACAAGAGTTTTGCCGAAAATTATAGACTGTATGCACGTAGCCATTTTATAAAGGCTATTGAGCTTGGTCTCATACTCACAGTTTATGCATCTCACAGCCCTGTAGCTAAGGCCACATTTGTTTACATAGCTTTGACTATCTCAAGTTGGTTTCTGGTTCTATCGTGGCTTATGGCCCCCTTTGTATTCAATCCTTCTGGTTTTGATTGGTTAAAGACTGTTTACGACTTTGATGAATTTATGAACTGGATTTGGTACCGTGGTGGTGTGTTTTCAAAGGCTGAACAAAGCTGGGAGAAGTGGTGGTATGAGGAGCAGGATCATCTAAGGACAACTGGCCTCTGGGGAAAGTTACTGGAGATAATATTAGACCTCCGATTTTTTTTTTCCAGTATGGTATTGTATTCCAATTGGGTATTGCAGCTCATAGTACCAGTATTGCCGTTTACTTGCTGTCTTGGATCTATATTTCGTGGCATTTGGAGTTTATCTGGTAATCTCATATGCTCGGGACAAATATGCTGCTAAGGAACATATATTTTCGGATGGTTCAGTTCCTGGTCGTTATTCTTGGAATACTTGTTATTATTGCACTGCTTGAATTTACGGCCCTCAGATTTGTTGACATTTTCACCAGTTTATTGGCTTTTATTCCGACTGGCTGGGGACTTTTGTCAATCGCTCAAGTACTTCGACCTTTTCTGGAGTCCACCCGGCTTTGGGATTCTGTGGTTTCTGTAGCTCGGCTATATGATATAATGTTTGGAGTTCTTGTTATGGTCCCACTGGCATTTTTGTCTTGGATGCCTGGGTTTCAGTCAATGCAGACAAGGATCTTATTTAATGAAGCGTTTAGCAGGGGCCTGCGAATTTTCCAGATTGTTACTGGGAAAAAATCCAGCGACTAGTATTTTGAGGTAATTTACCAACAATTGTCTCTTTTATGGTTTCTGTTGCCCAGAGATATAGTAAAATTACTCCGATGCCTAACTATTTATTTAGTAGTTTAAATGCTAAGGGGTTATTTGATTTGTGAGTATAATTATACTTTAGCATGATTCTGTTTGGCTAGTCTTAGGTTTTGGTTTTTTTTTCTTTCTGAAGTTTTTAAGTTCAAGTGAGATTAATTTCTTTTTCACTCCATAATTTGTCACTTTCTTGTTCATAATTGTCTTTAAAACTCTGAATTTCATTCAATTGTCTCTTTCTGCTTTGGTGCTAATTTTCTGTATCATAATGGTATTAGACGCTATGGGATTTATTCCTTCTCTTTTAGGTAAATTGATCCTGTTTGTGGACCATGAAGTTTTTTATGCTTTTGCAATTGCATGGGCCGTCCTTTTATTTTACCTTTCTTTGTTTGGTTTTAGGGTTTCATATTGAGCTTCTTAACTTCATTTATTGGAATAAGTTGGGGCTAGGTTGGTTCATGCTGCATCCTAAGCTCTGTTTTGAATTTGATTTGTTATGCAGCAGGCTGCAGATTATGGTTATATATTTTTGGGTGATAGAAATTGGGGGGATGTGGATTTATGGATTCTTGCCATGAATGCTGAATTTTTGTAGCCATTTGCTACTTTACTGTTTGGGTCAAGTTTGGTCCGGTTCGATCAGGCGTTTTTGGTTTTTGGAATTGCCCATGATATTTTGGCTCTATTCGGTTATCAAATTTTCCATATTAACTTCGGGATTTGGGTTTCTGGATTAAGTTTTGACAAAATGGGTTTTGTTTTAAGAAAATAACTGCTGCTCCAAGAAAATTCTAGTAATACATTTGATTGATGCAATTTTGCTGTGCATTCCATTTTGAGATGTATTTTGTCCTTGAGGCTTTGATTTGGTTGTCTGTCCATCCATGTTTGTTGAAGTTCAGAGTCCAAAACTAGCGACAAGCTTGATATGTAATGACCATTCGGTCATTCTCAGTTCAGTATCCCTGGAAACATGCATTAAATCACATTTCGTAACTTGTCCTGTAATTGTCTACTTACCATTTGAAGTTTCTACTTTCTATTATCACGTTTAAACAGCAGCTATTGCTGCAGTTATATAATGGTACTTGGTGAAGCTCTCCTCGCTGTGTTTTAAGTTCATATCAAACTACTGAATTTCCAGTTGAAACCTGTTTTGTTTTCTTAGCGACTTATCGTAGAATATAGTACCTTAGTTTCTGATTTGAATACCAAGTTGTAGAGAAGGCTAGAATCAGACAAATTGTTTACCGTTGGAGTCCTTTTGAGCCTTGATGTAGAATGTCATTGTCTGTCTTCCAAGTTTCTCGGGCCAGTGCTGATTGAATTGTCGTGGCTTATAAGTAGGGGAGCTTTGGGAGTATTCCCATGTAACTTGGGTGCTTGCTGAAGCTGTTTCCATGCCGTGTTTTTATAGATGCGAACCTGCTGCACACTAGGCCATTTATTCGGGTTTCAAAACGCTTCTTGTTGATCTTCTTGGAACATTTAAATCAAACAGTGAACACTTAAGCAATGTCATGGATACCTTATGGTTGCTTGGCATTATGTTTTGCAGGTTCATCGCAAGACTATTCAAACTAGAGTTGATTTGGTAGATTCTTGAATGAGAGAGATGTGGCGGCCATGCCGTTAGTTCGATTCTGAACTTTGTGGGGAAGAATCTGATCGCCATCATAACGACATATAGTGTTCATAATGGCCTGCTCCATCAGATCTGTTTGCTCTTATTGTAATTAGGCATTTCATTTTGTTTATTCCCACGACTTTTGCTGGGGAACTTGGATTCTACTTTCAAATTTTCCCAGATTTCCAGAGGTACGCATTATGTAGTGTTTGTTGATAGCCAGTATAGCTTTGTACTCTGCTGAGAGATGGTTCAATCAAATATTTGTTATTCTTTTGTCTGAAATACACCACTTATTCACTTACACCCTACATTTTCAATATTATATACCAAAAGTAGTCATAACCAAGTTGGACAAAATTGCCTTCACCTAAAGGTATACTGTAACAGCTCTAAATTATAGCTTCTATAATGGCTTAAGGCATCCCCCATCCTACATTTTATTTAGATCTATCAGCTTAACTAGCCTCAAACCGCTTGCAGTCTGTTGATCCGTTTTTCACAAACTCTTTAGCCATCACATTGATCATCTTAGGTATTGTTCCTTTAAATTCCTCCGAGCTACCTTGTACGATTTTGTTAGGGTCTGCAACACCGTCTTTAACCACAATGGAGCCTACGTAGCACCCTCTTCATATGCTTGACATGCCACAAGGATGTCATGTGCACGGTTGCAAAAATGACCAGTAACAAAGTCCTCGAAATGCTGTAGAGAAAACATGACTGATTCGATCAGGTCCAAAAATATCAAGAGAACGTAAATTTTACAGAACATTGTGCATAGAAAAAAAAACTTGCAGTGCGACAGCATAAAAATGACAGTAATAATATTTAACAAACTATGACTATATTTAAGACTGAACAAAGGCAGACAGGGAATGAAGATTAAAGTAAAAGGGGCGTTTCTCAGTGGCAATGTATCTTTCAGCATCTTACCAACAAAAACGGACTTCATAAAAATAAATGACAATAAAGACAGAAGAAAATTAACGGATAAACTAGCTATTGGAAGATACCTTTGGTGGTTTTCTTAGCGTGTAAATCATCGTCTTTAGTGATAGAATAAATGCTTCCTCATTGTACCTCCTGGACTTTCCTTCACCTTCAACCCCAATATACGAACTTTCATGCCTGGGTTTAAAGAAAGGTCGAGCATTCAAAATAAGAGCTAGCATGGTTGATTGCCCTGGAACCCACATCTCATTCTAGTTTCCATGCCAGGTGCCCAAAAGGCTTAGGCATACTTTACCACAGTTGTATAAATTTGGATTTAACCGGAGGCCACCAGAGTAATAGTAAACCATCTGACAAGAAATTACCGCATATCCGTTTAGCAGTGTAAAATAAGGTTATACTTAATAGTACTCTAACATGACAATATTTTGGGAAGTGCACAGATGCACACTAAACATACCGGTGGCTCATGTGGATATTTTGGAGGGAAGAGACAATAAAAAACAAAAAGGCCATCGTGGTATGGAATACCAGCAGGTCCTATAATGATAGCCCTTAAGAGATCCATCCTTCCTTCATAGACTCTCACATATATAGTTTCTGTAGAAAAACGGAGAGAGAGGGAGCATGAGTCATTCGAACAAAATAACTCCAGGTGTTACGAAGCAAAAAGTAGTAATTTTCATAATAAGAAGCTACAAATTTCAGAAATCAATGCAGCTGTCCTACAGAGTTTGATATGTATAATTTTAAAGATGTTATTCAGCTAATGAATGTTCATACAATCAGTTATGAAAGTAGGTGGCACTTGATAAAAGTAATTTAACGAGCAACAATTAACTCCTTATCAATTACTATGAAAATGGCACCTGATTTCAGAAAAAAATGCATCCATATATCAGAACTCACCTGGTAAGTCCTCCATAATCTTCCACTCCTCTTGTATTTGCTTCGCCCACTCCTTTGGTTGCCATCAATAGAAAGTGCAAAAATCAGATTATATTAATGACAAATTTAGCATGACAGAGAAACAAGATGCATACTCACCCCTTCTGTTGAAACTGAGGAACTTTTGCATATCCCCATTTTCTTCATTTCCTTCTTTGCAATCAGACCCTGAGTCTCTTGGGACTGTTGAAGTACTGGTAGAAGCTGGCTTCAGTTCGCTATCAGCCAAATTTGATGTCATGGCATTCTTGCTTTTATACAGATTTCCAATAAGAACAGAGTCTTTCAACCAAGGAACTGAAGCCTATACCCCAGGAGGAAGATCCACATTATCAAAATGGGATTGCATAATTGAATAATCATCTTGATATAAGAAATCACCATTGCCACCATAATCAGAAACATAATCAGCATAGTCATCAAAATCCTCCTCCTCATCAGCATAGGACAAATCAGAGTTAGAACTATTGATATGGAAAATGATTTGATTAATTAAAGAAGTGTTTAAAAAGAAAGAAGACTGATCTTTCCCGCTCACCCGTAAAATGCAAAAAATATTTTCTATAGAGAGGGGAAAACCCAATAAAAAAAACAGAGTGCGAAAACAGTACATGATTCTATTTATAATTTGGGTAAATTAACTATTTGGTCACCCAGTATTCCCGTTTTATGTTGTAGTCATTTAATTATTTTTTTAAATCATATTCAATGTTACATTTTGTTTTTGTTTTAGCCACTAACCATTAAATTTTTATCGTTTATTTAGTGAAAATGATAATATGACATGACATAATAATAATTTTAATTTTCAATTGATTTATAGTTTAATATTTTTTTTAATATTTAAAAATTCTATTAATTTCACTATATAATAAATGAAATCGTTTAACATTGTTATTACGAAAAAAAGATTGATCTCACTCCATCGTAAAAAGCATTAAAGCAAAAATCATTTTCTATAGAGAGGGGAAAACTTATAAAAAGCTAGAGGGAGAAAATTGTACATGATTCTTATTTATAGTTTGTGTAAACTATCTATTTGGTCATTCATCTATTCCTATTTTTTATTTTAGTCACTCAATTGATTTTTAAATTATTTTTAATAATATGTCTTGTTTTTTATTTAGATCACTAACAATTAAATTTTTACCATTTAATTAATGAAATGATAATATCATATGATATAATAATAATTTTAGTCCATAAAATGTACACATCCTGTCAAATTAGTTATAATTTAATAATTTTTTAATATATACAACTTATTAAATTATAATTAATTTAAAATAATTTTATAATATTTAAATATCTTATCAATTTAATAAGATTTTTAACAGAATTGAATTGAGAAAGCCCAATAGAAGAGAGAGCCCAAGAAGTGGGAGAGCAGAAGGAGAACCCCATTAAAAGATGAGAAAATAACCTCAGTGACCAAAAATCTCATATAATATATGATTTTAACCAACTTTTTTCGGATTTTCCAAAATGACCAACAAAATCGCAATGCGATCGATAATTCGCAACGCGATCTCCGGTATCGCAAATCAGTTTCCAGATTCGCAACGCGATTCTGACTATCGCATTGCGATTTCCCAAATTCGCGTTGCGATTACGTAAATCGCAATGCGAATTAGGAAAATCGCAATGCGAATACGTAAATCGCAATGTGAATCTGACTATCGCAATGCGATTTACATAGCGCCATTCGTATTAACGCGTATTTTTTTTTTCAAATTCCAAACACGAATTTTTTCTTAATATATCGGAAACTGAACCGTCCACAGCAATCGCAACTCATAACCTCAAACCTAAAATCACAACATTCAGTCCCATCTCCATCTCTCACTCTCTACGACGAAATCTGTCCCCATCTCCGAAGATTTCCGTCCCCATCGCCGGCGAAATCCCTCACAACCATTCACGGTCAGAAATCCCTCACAATCATTCAGAAATGGAAAATCAACCTCCGAGGGTTAGTTTTTTTTAATTATTTTTATTTTAAAATTTTTGCATTATTTTAGGTTTTTCATATTGAAATTGATGATAAGTTTACTGGTAATTTCAATAATAGATTAACCATTTCACTTAGATTTCTTATTAAATTCATTCGATTGCTGCCAATACTGCTAAACTGTTTAGTATTTAACCTTGTGAAGTTAGTATTTGTCTTTGTTTTGTCTTTTGGTTGAAGTAATGCAGAAGAAGAATAGTTTTGAGAATGAAAATCGCAACGCGGAAATGACTATCGCAACGCGAAATGAAAATCACAACGAGATAATCGCAACGCGAAACCAAAATCGCATTGCGATTTTCATTTTGCGTTGCGATTCTCTCGTTGCGATAGTCATTTCCGCGTTGCGATTTTCATTATCTCGTTGCGATTTTCATTTCAACCAAAAGACAAAACAGTGTTGCAAATTTTAGTTTCAAGAATAAACTACTATTTATGTTTATTGTTTTTGGTATATCTTCACAGTGTAGTTTTTGGTATATCTAACTTGGTATGTTTATTGTTTTTGTAGAAATTTTTTTCGGCTTCATTGACATTAAGGAATAAAGTTAGCCTAGCCACTACAATTGCTTCGAAGCTTTCACCTGCACAAAGAAAATTGTTTGAGGAAACCTGCTTCGGGCCATGGCTGAGAGTACAGCATCCGAGTGAAGATGCTAATTTGACCCATTTGTGGCTTCAGACCATGACTAGCGATCTACCCGACAGTATACAACGTGGTGAGGAAGTGATATGGTTTCATTTTCCACCGGCGTATACTTGTTTTGGGCGGAAGGAGTTTTGCTTAATCACTGGTCTACGATTCGGACACGATGATGTAGGCCGGTACACTCGTCATATCACCCGCCCATCATGGTTATTTCCTGATGAGTCAATAGAGAAGCCGAACTTACACGTCGACGACCTGAAGAAATTGTTTAATAAGAAAGATGGTTTTACTCGGATGAATGACGTCGATGTTGTCCGAGTATGCCTTCTACTACTTTTGTATGCCGGCTTTTTAGGCAGAGAGGCCAGATAACCTATTTCTCAGGAGCAATATTATTGGTAGAGGACCTAAATGCATGGAATCTGTTTCCGTGGGGTTCGTATATATGGAAAGCTACATGGACTAAGTTGTCGTCTGCCTTTGATGACAGCAAAAGTTTGCGGGGCGATGGGTCGAAATACACTTTGTCAGGCTTTTTTGGGCCTTTAAGGTAAGAATTTCTATATAATGTTTTCAAAATTATAATTAATTATTTTAACAATTACTAATGTTTGTTATTATATTGTTTGTAGATTTGGATATTCGAGGCTTTCCCCAGCATGTAGACATATGCATTAAAAACCTCAAATGATATTCCTAGGGCTATTTCCTGGAAGAG